ACTCTTTGTATATATATATATATATATATATATATATATATATATATATATATATATATTAGGAATATATACCATTTATAAAAAATATTATCATCTAAATAATAATAATATTACTACTATTATTTAGATTAGAGATTATAAAATTTATTTTTAAAATATGAATTCCTATATGTACATATTCATTCATATATTAATTGAAATCACGGAGTAGTATTCTCTAATTTGTAATATTATGAGTCTCTAACCCCTTGCGGTATAATATCAAAATTAATTAAAAAAAAATAACAATCATGTTCATATGTTTGATAGCTTATAAGATATACCAATTAATAAATTATCATAATTATATATCAACTTAATTTAATTTGGCAATGGAAATTTTGATGTGTTGACTCAATGGGTGAGTAATACAATATACTTTTAAAATTTACTATCATATTTAGTCAAATTGAAGGTAAACATGAATATATAAAATACGAAAACATCGATGATATTTATTTATTTTTATATTTGTGAACATATATATATATATATATATATTCAAAATTACAAAAAAGTTTATTCGTATATTGTTCATTGCAAAGAAGACTGGTGATTTATTTTAATCTATAATGATAAAACCTTATTTTCTAAAATTTGGTGTAAATATACAATCTCTTATTCTATTTTTAAATATATTTAAAACACCCACATGTATATTTGCAACTTGCATGTGTTTATAGTCTTGTTAAACGGCGGCTCTCCACAGCTTCTGCGACGCTTCTCGTTAATTATTCATTTTAAATTACTCTTATAAATATAAACCGATAACAATGCAACCAGATGCCATGTCAATTACTTATTATTTAATTACTTCTCCATAAAATAAATATAACTTTATAAACTATGGTTTGACAAGTAAAAACCATAAAATGGTGGGAAAGAATCCTACGTGGAATATGTGTTAGTATGGTTTTTTATGTTGCAATCATAATAACATAAATGTGCTACAACTATATATGGTTTTTGTATCATGATAAAAACAAAATAAAAAATGTTCTTAAAGAATTATATTTATTGTCGTCCCACGAATCTATATTGATAACTAAATTATTAAACGCTACATTGCCTTAAGAAAATTGAAAATAACATAAAACATTATTTATTTTATATTTTAAATCATCTCTGTTCAGTTTTGTAGATTTTTAAATTTTTTATATTCAAAATTTTAAAACAAAGAAAATGATATTTTTCCTTTTTTAGAAAAAAATCAGTAGATCACACTAATAAAATATATTTTATGAAAATAGAATATTTGATACAAAATATTCTGAATCAGGTTTAGATTGTTATCAATCAATGATATTTGATACAAAATATGCTATATTATAATCTTATCATAAACACCGACAAAATTATTAATATTATCAAATCATATATTTAGAATTCTATATGTTTAAATGAATTCTTTTGTTTTAATAAACTTTCCACCAAAAAAATCTTAACATAATATAAAAATTAAATTAAAATTTAAATAATCTTTTTGTATCCGAGAAAAGTTAAAAAATGAATTATAAAATATTTTTTTATGAATATCTATAAAAATAAAATTATTCAGTTATTATTTATAAATATTTTGAATTATCAAAATAAATTGATAGCATGTGATACCTAAAGTATTAAAGAATATATCAAAACCAATACAAATATAAAATGTCAAATGGAATAAAAAGTTTCTAATATATTTATCACTAAAATTAATCACATATCAAAATTTAAAAATTAAATAAATATACCTATCTATTTCAAAAGAACATCTAATTTGATTATAAATTTACATATGGATGATTTAGACCTACCAATTTTTTATTATATATATGGTATTTATGTGTTAATTTTTTTTATAATTTGAAAACTAGTTAAACATTTAGATTACACCAAAGAGAAGTGGATATTTGTTTTTTTTTTTAATTTAAGAACGCGAACAAAAGAAGAACAGGTGTTTTCTGGTTCAGGTTTTAACATAGAAGATGACGTCATCATGGAACCCACATATTATAGGTGTCGGATGTCGCAATGTCTCCTTCGTGGACCCCACGTCTACGCTAATGTCTCAAATTTCATTTTAAAATAAAATTTTTATATTGATTTTCTTTTTGTCTCGATGTCATTAAGAGATTTATAGAACATTTTTTATTTTGAAATTTTAAAATATAAGATAATATGGAATAATTTTCGTGGCTATATTATTTGTAATGGACGCGAACATTACGACCTTTAAAACTTTTTTACAGATCAATATAAAATCTTTCGTGTTTTTGTTTTCATTCGTACATTTTACAGAAAATATTTCTCAGGAATTCATCCATTTTTAAAATTATTCTATATATATAACACGTTTTAATTTTAGGATTCTCTTTAGATGAAGTGTTTCAATAAATTCTTTTAAATTATAATCGTAATCTCCTGCTTATATAATCTTTAGATGTGTATCTCTTAT